AAATATAGGTGTATCAGTATTAAATAGCCACCAAGACTGCATTTGTAGTAAGGTTTACATTTTTTTATTGTATTCAGGTTTAGCTGTTGCTTCCTTAGGCAAGGAGTGCCACAGTACCCTTTCTTTGAGTCAAATATGCACTGAAATGCAAAATGCACTTGACATTACTATCTTTTCAGTGAGATGAGAGCAAGGGACTCCAGTGTAGTAAAATATTTGTCTCTTTGAAAATGTGAACATTCTGATTGACGTAAGTAGCACAGAGTTATATATGCTTCTGCATGAGGGCTCTGGGAATGGGTGTTGTCTTCATATAAATAACCTGCACAGGAACCAAATGGGTGTTGCTCTGCGCAATGTTAATGCTTTGCTGTATTCTGTCTTTGTCTCTACCAATGTTATTTCTCCAATGGCTTGTATTGTAATGTCTGTACCTTTTACCTTCAGAACACCTCACTGAAGAATCATGTTAAGTAACAGTCAAAAAATAGCTATCAATCTGTATAGGCATGGCAGGCACCGTAACGCCATGTTTGCATGCTATAGGTACAAGATGAAGATAATGTTGAAAAGCTGGCAGCATGTTAAAGATGATTTGTTTATACAAGTGCTAAACTTATGTTTGATATGTTAATGCAACCTCATTTTCTAGTAAAGGCCAAATACTATTAAGTGGTTATCTGCATTGATTTTTCTATCTTCTGAAATACTCAATTCATTGTAAATCATCTTTACTCTTTTTGAGTACCTGGAACTAGGACCATCTTTTAACAGTCTCTTTCTGGGTGAGCCTCAAAGAATTTGCTCCTGTTGTTTTCCTGATCCACTTCTTGACCTCTCTGTCAGTATCCCCTTTAGCAGGTTTTTTGCAATTTTTTGAGATTTCCCTCAACAATTTCACCTGGATAGTTACTGAAAGGGGTCAGCAGCCACTGCAGTTTGAACCGGTGCCTCTCACAAACATCCTTATTTTGCTGAATCATGTTAGCTCTTGCTTGCTAGTAGCATAATGGTCTAAATTAGAAGCCTGGAGAGAAGAACAGGTGTACTAGCTGTCTATCCTTTCTTTCCTGTCTCATTCTCTTAGCCTTTTTGTATGTACCCTGCTTTGCTTTTCATTTTGTGCCTTAGTTGCTAGTGATATGTGCTGTGCTGAGTACAGGGGTACTTGTTTCTAAAGACTGAGTGCATTTAGAAAAGCATAGCCATGTGTTTATGGTTAAAGAGAAGGTTTGAGTGCCCACTGCTGAGAACGGATAACGTTGAGGTGAAAACTGTACAGCTGGGCACTGACGGTTGCTCAAGGAACAGTTGGCGTAGGTTAAAGAGGTTCACCTTGTGATTTGAGGGTTTGAGAAAAGAGAGGAAACTGTTTTCTGATTGGGTTTGGGGACTTTTGTATCTTCTGTATTGCCTCTTCTGGTTGTAGAACTCTGAATGCACAAAGTACACCATGTGATGAAGCTAATTCCTGGTGGATTGTTTGTGTCATCATAAAATGACATGTTACTATTTGTGAGGCTTTAATATCTTTTACTTAGCAAAGTCTTTATCATTCTGATCAAGGCATATTCTCTGACATCCATCTGTGTTGCTTTTATACTCCTTGATGTATACAAAATACCTGAGATAAAGAATCCGTTTTCTCAATTAACAGTTAATTTTCTCAATTAACTAACTAACTAACTAACCTCTTTCAGAACATTTTAAATTCATGGGAACTTCCATTTAAGTGGACAGTTACACCTTAGATCAGATGTGTAGACAACCTATGTTGCACAAAATATTTTGTGTCTGAATTTAAGAGGACTCTGAAGGTTTCCCAAGTATGAGTTTTCACAAGTTTGGAATAACAGGATTTAGACATTCTCATTTAGAATATTTAAAATTAAACACTTCCTTTAGCTTTTAGCTTTCTTAAAAGGATACAGCCAACATTTCCTTTCTGCCAGTACTGAATTGGACGATGTCTTCTCTTCACTATGCTCCAAAAAAACACTTTTATATATGTTTTTAGAAGGAAATCCAGTTTCTTACTTGTAGCTGTTGGCATTTTAGAGTCCTGGAGTGAACCAGTAAAAACACATGTTCTTTTAAAGAACATCTATTTTTACTGGACCTTTCTAACAACCAATGACACAGAATTCAAAAAATGTTGGCTCAAATGAATAGAAGGGATGCATTGTTTTAAATTCCGTTTTTAAAACTTTTCTTTACAGCATTACACAGAAATTTCCTATGCTCTTTTTCTTGTGAAAAAGAGTGCATGCTTTTAGAATGCTATTTTAATGTTTTAAAAGTAGTTCAGGTATCAAAGTGTTGGAGAGTTTAAAATTTCCTAGACAGCTAGGAATAAATACATTCTGATTGATAATTCAGAACATCTTCTGTTAAAACATTATTTCCAACATGTTAAGACACTTATGTTTGGAGGTCAAATTAGATTGCCATTTTTATCAGTGATACCTTCAAAACGGATTTAGGTTTTATGCTGGCTGAATAAGCCTAGTTGTTGGTTTGGGTTGGGTTGGTTTTGATGGGGTCAGGTTTTGGTGGGTTTTTTCAGATATCAACATTCTTGTGGAAATGAAATTAAAGATTACTTACAAAATTATACAAAAGAAGTAATCATGTCAAGGTTGACTTGATAGGAAGGTCCATCCCTTTTATGTTACTTGTGCTACATCTTTATCATACGTGCTCTGTATATGCTTCATGATACTGAGTCCCACTGCTAGTCCTGTAGCTAGGTTTTGTTCTTAGCACATTTTCACTTCCTTTTTGGAGCCAAGAGAATAGCATGAATATAAGTTAATATTTTAAAGATAGATTGAGGTTTTTGTCTATTTAGTAATATTTACTGTAAGAAACCTGTGTTATTATCAAGTTGGGAATTCCAAAACACTGTTTTGAAGAGTGTTGACAAAGCAGAAAAGTGGGAGGCCTACTGATCTTACATGATGTAATCTGTAAAGTATCGAAATAATGCCTGAAGTAACAATTTTTTTTTAATGGTGTTTAGATCATGTATGCTGCACAAAAAAACCCAAAAGCTGTTAGAAAAAAAATGCATAATCTGGGTTTAGTTCTTCAACAGTTTTATTAGAACCTTCATGTCTGCAGACATAATTTGCATACTGGAAATGGAAAAAGAATTACAGCTGTCATTCTGTGATTTGTGATTTTTTTGTATGTGTGAGTTAAACATAGACATTACACATCTCAACTCCGTAAAAATATTTGCAATCAAATGTATCTTAATATTTTTTCTGTGTTTCGCTATTTTAATGGAAAGTGTGGTTTTCTCTTGCAATAAAATTGAAACTCTGCATCAAAAAACTTTATAGCAGGCAGAGAATGCGCTAGGCCAGAGAGATTTGCTGCCTTTAATATAAGTAATCCTATTAGAAATGAGCCCAGACTTCTAACAGAAGTAATGAAATACAACAATAGATGTGTGAATTGAGTTTTTTTAATAGTGCTGTTGAACACCTACACTTATTTAAAACTTATTCAAATATAGATTGAATCATTCTGGTTTATATACAATGCTATAAACCTGATATGCAGTACATGGCTAAGGACTTATTTTGTGTCTAAGAAGTATATGTATTGGTATGTTTTTAAAGTTTCTGTCTTGAGATCCCGTAGTACTCCATATTTTACTTAGACCTCAGTTATAACTTTTGCAGTCCCACAGCTCTCTATTTTACAGTTTTCTATTTTGGGGGGTTTTTTTTTGGTTTTTGGCTTTGCTTGACGTGAGCCATGCTTTATCCCACATACTGAATTTCTCAGTAATACATTGTATGCACATGTATGGGAAGCTCAGTTCTATGTTGTCCAGTCACCAAAATAGCACAAGAGAGTGATGATTTCACAGCAATGCTTTTGAAACAGCAATGCTTACATGGGTATTGTATAATGATTCTCATTCTTTTTTTGCTAGTGTTTTCAGAAAGTACTTATTAAAATCCTTTTTATGAATTTATTTTCTTTTATCCTAACAGTCTGTCAGCTTTGGGTTTTGGTGGTGATATCTGAACTACTTGCTTGTATTATACCACTGTAAAGAGTGTTCCTGCTAATATTCTGGTTCTCCCTAGTTCTAACAGTTGTTCCTTTGCACCTTCCTGGTACTTTGTTTGGTTTGTTTTGGTTTGTGGGGGTTTTTTTCCCAGTTTTTTTCTCTTTTTTTTATATATTTTTTTTTTGGTGAATATTGGGATTTTAATAAGATAATGATCTGTCTGCTGACAACTAATTACTCTTTCAAACCAAGATAACTGGGCAGGACCTCTTACACTTACCATAAAAAATGGTGAAATATACTTTAGCTCACAATTTGCAGATCTTTAATCTTTAAAATAGATGTTCAGTGGGCAGTGGTAAGTATACGTGTGTATGCATACATCAGCAAATGTTAAATTTTTTATTCTTTGCCATTAAATTAAATATTTAAGCAAAACTCTTAAAACTTCTTTTCTTTCAAGATGTGGTATGTGCTTGGAAATTAGAGTAATCTGTTAACATGAAAAATACACGTATAAAAATTACATGTATATTTTCTAATAAAAGGCTGAGTCTTGGATTTTGGAAGAGGTTCTTTGCTTTTCTAAAAACACATACTGTTTCCTTTATATCCAACTACTTAATACATAAAAGCCAAAACCTAGCCTTACCTTGACATGCTTAGGAGCAGAAATTCAACCTCACATTTTTAAGACATTTTAAAATATTCTGCAAAATGTATTTATTTGATACTAAACTTGGGGGGGGGGGGGGGGGTGTTGGCATACAGTTAGACCAGGAAGAAACTGAATAATGATGCACATTTAAAAAACTTCTCTGTAGTACTGGTCTGGAATTGTGACTTGCTTTTGTCTGATGCTTTCACTACTGCAGAAATGGTGATGGAGTTATTTACGTTAATTCATTTGGGTTGTTGAAAAAAATATGCCCACACTCCTCTACTTAATGGGATTCTTTCCTCGTTGCAGTGCAAACGGCTGGAGCAGGAGCTTCATCATCTGAAAGAGCAGAACCAGACTTCAGCAAACAACATGAGACATCTGACTGCTGAAAACAATCAAGAACGTGCTCTGAAGGTAAATCTCCATTTCTTCTTGCAGGCAAATTAAGGTTGTAAGCCCCTGGTGCCAGCTTTCTGGGCTGCATATATCAGTTGTGTACATTTCGGCAGAAGTGAGCTGTGGTGTTTGCCAACAACCCCTTCTTTAAACACAGATACAGCACCCTTCTGCTATGGTTTTATTTTATTTTGTGTATGAAAACAATAAGGAAAAAATAACATATCCTCCAAGTTATTGGGCCAGTAATTAATGCTAAATTCTTGCTGGTCTGTCCTTGCAATATTGCATTTATAATGTGAAGAAAACTGCAACTATCTGCCTCACAGTACCTTTAAAACTAATATTTTAAAGCATGGCTGTTTGATCTGCTCCCAGCAGTGTGTGCTATATTAATAACATTGTTGACCGATACTACTAGTGACCACATAGTTGATACTACTATTTGCAAAAGGGTAGCTGGTTGGAATTGGGAGGAGGAATGTGTCTTGTCAATAAGAATAAAAATGAGCAGAGAGGCGGGAGAGGATCAGAGAAAGGACAGTAGAAAGTGACAAGTTATTGCTGCTTTGAGGAGGGGAAATTGTAATGTCAGTGGAATGGATAGCTACGTAACCAGCAATCTTTACCGCTAGCCAGAATAAGAGTCTCTGCGAGGTAAGATGTACAAGCATCATGCACACATATTCAACCACTGTATTCTTTAAAATCTCTTTCATGGGTAGTGGAGAGACTACAAATACGGAAGTTACTCTGTTGATACTGTGTCATTGTTTTAAAACTGTATTTGACTTGGGCAGTAAGATCCAAACCTATCTCATTTATAAGCAGATTTTCCTCTGCTTCCTTTTTCTTTCTTTTATATTATGGAAACACCATTATTCATGTCACAGCTTTACTAATGCAAAGTTAGGAATAAGGTAAATCCTTGTGTAGTTTGAAATTCCTGTTTGAAAAAAAAAAAGAAAAAAGTATAATGAGTAAATGGAGAGAGGCTGTGTGCCACACAAATGCTGTATATTCCATGGGTTTATAACTGCCATCAGAATCTGCGGTGTATACTACAAAATCAGGTGTGCAATACTGGAAGCATTCCATCCTCAGATTACTACAAATAGAGGTGTAAACATTCCATCCTCAGATTGCTAGAAATAGAGATTGTAAACATTCAGGGCTGTTTCTGACCACAATAACATTATTGTTTGAAATCTGGTGTCACTAAAATTTAATGCTTGCTGAGCATGGTGCTTACTGAACATAGTATTGTTTTTCATTAATTGTATGCTGAATTTTTTTTTCTGTGTCATTGAAAATATTATGTACAGAGTCCTTCTGTTAGAAAACAGAAATGTCTTATTGAAATTACACTTTTTACATTTAATATTGTCTGACATAATGCGTACAGAATAATTATATTTTCAGATGAAGTAGTGACTTAATAGTTCAGAGTGTTACTAGGATTTCCTTCTAAGCCTGATATTGCTCTCCCAGCACCTAATCTTTAAAGAATTTAATTTCTGGCTGTTACAGGCATTTTTTGACTTTTTAAAGTTAGAGGTTAATTGGTAGTAGTCTTTTGTAGATGAGAGTCGAGGGGGGGGAAAGGAATTCTTTTCAATTTTTTATAAAGTTGAACTTTTTTTTTATACTATTCCTCTGTAGAGTTTGTCTCAATTCATGTTACCATTGCCTACAGTGAGAACAGGTCCATCGGAGTCCTTTTAAAAGGCTGATGGGTCAGGTTGAAATCTTGACCTTGAAAAATTTAAAATTTTCCTGTGAAATATTGGCAGCAGTAGTTAGCTTTGATATGCAGGGCATGAAGACTCATCCTGACCTAAGCACTCATGTCAATGAAAAGCTTATCACTCCCTTTTAGTGTAGCTACAGCCTAGAAAACATGGAGTGGCTGGTAGGGATGAAAGTTGTGTCAGCAGCTCCCTTAGAAATGGGTTTGACTGGTGTCAGCAGCTCCCTTAGAAATGGGTTTGACTGGTGCTCTGGGCCTGGCTGCAGCTGTCTAGGTGGCTCCTGCTGCCAGCAGTGGAAGAGCTCCCTGCCAGAGAAATATCTGTCTGGAGCCCCCTGACAGGTAACACCATGTAGGGTCTTGGCACACACCTCCCTGTTGAAACCCTCTTGTTACTAGCTTCCACCTCCTGCCTCTTGTATGCACTTAGTAGCTACTGTAAGCACTACATGCAGAGTGCACGTACAGACCCAAGAATCCCTGAATCCATTTCTGTCTCCTCTCCACTGTGCATCATCCTCTGGTCTTCCAACTGCTTTTAAAGAAATAGGACAGGCCGTTTGCCTCTCTGATGCAGGGTTAAATACCAACACAATTGTTTTTATTTTCATCATGAGCCAGAGAACTACATTTACTTTGCTCTCCTCCATGTGCAAACTGAGAACTGCGTTGTGTACTATGATTCAGATGTAAACATTGTCTTGCAGAAGGATTACAGGTATCCCTTCTGTATCTGTCCAGAACAGTTTCAATTAAGAAAGTTGGGGGTTTAAAATTTTTAATTTTCCTTACTTTCTTAAACTTATTTAATATTGTCTGATTTAGTTTGCCAGAATATGTATTCTGGTGATAGGTGGCAAATGAGGAATTTGATCTGCTTTAGAGTGACAGAAATGTAAACATCAGATGTAGCACAAGGATGCTTGCAGTCTTAACTTGATAAAAGAGCAGTCATCAAGATCAGCTAGATTAAGGATGGCATAAAATTCTGTGATAAAAAATGAGGTCAATACCGCTATAGGGTCTTGAAATACTTAACAACAAAACTTAACGGGTATTTCTAAAATCATTTTACAGTAGGGAATTGCTCAGAAGGACAAAAGCATAAAACTAGTCCACAAGAAACCTATTTCTTTCCACTGATGGTGCAGAAAAACTGCAAGATTTCAGCCTTATTTTAGTTATATTAGATCACACGGCGGCTGGCGCCCTTGGGGTAGCAGACACCCATAGAGTAAGACAAAGCAGCAGAGGGACAGATTATAACTGTGGCAGAGGTGTAGTGGCAGCAAATTGGTCAGGTCCAGGATATAGAAATCACAAAGATGATGTAAGCACTCTTGCATACTTTTGATTTTACAATTTTAGATGCCATGTCACACCTGAAGATCATGTGACAAATAAAATATATGACACGTAAGACGTGCTCTATAGACTTATACTGTGCCATGTCATCTTCTTGTGTAATGTAACATCTGCATGTCTGTTGTAAAATAGCTCTTCTTAACTAATCTGTCATACGTATTAGCAGTAAGTGATTTTAAATTTCCTTTTTTTTTCCCATATTTAATGTATTTATTGCATAGAACATTCTTCATAGTGATGTGGGCCACTCAGTCCCATAATGCCATACTGGTACACTTAATTTTTATAATATTCTTATTGGTCATAGGGGATTGTATTAATTGAACAGAAAGGCCAATTTCAAATCTTCCCTCCAGGCAATGCCCACAACTGCACGGAGGTCATTCAGAGAAGCATGTGGGCCCCTATTTCCATAGTTAAAGTAAAATAATCCTCTTCTTTGTGAAACCATTTTAAAAAATATCTCTTATAATATTTCAGATTGAATTATAGCTAAGTCTTTTAGGGATAATTGCTTCCTAAGGGCCTATACACCTGTGCTCTTAGTACATTTTCATAAAGTAAGATCTGCAAAGTGCTCTGCAGTTCTAATGTGTCAGAGTCTATATGTAAGATTATTCATTTGTTCTTGGCCTTCATAATTAACTTTTGGTTTCTGCTGATTCTGATAAATGTATTCCCACAATACATTGAAATAGCTGATTCAATTAAACATAGAAAAGTTGAAGAATTGCTATTTTTACATTAAGTATTAAAATATTGTCGTGGTTCATTTTACTGTTGTTAGCTTCATAGTGTCTAGTTTTGACATGCAGATTTTAATACGTTTTCCTAAAGAAAAATAAAGATTTTTGGCAGGTGTGTCCTCTTTACTCAGTTGGAGAAGTATAGGAAGTGTCTTGTGAAACAAATAATGTTAAATTCATGGAAAATTCTTAACTGGATTTGAATGAAACAAGGAGAGGTGGCTTTTTCTTCATAGGCCTGATATTTTTAATTAGGTGGCACATTCTTCATAATGCAGCTATTAATCTGCTGTAAAGACCAGAGAGACATACTAATTTTACTTCCCAGCCAAACACTCCAAATAGAGAAGAGGGCTTTTTCATGGTGAGACACAAGTTCGGTGCCCTTTATTGACTAAATGAATTTACGCCATCCAAGTATGATATCATTAGAACTTGCAAAGGTTATTAATCTCTTTCAGAGCTGTTAAGATGTTAATCTTTGGTTATGGTTGGCTTGTTTTGTTATGGTTTTTCTGACTAATCAATCTTTTTAGTTGTGATTTTCTGTAGAATTAATCCTACATACTTCTACGGTTTTATGAGGAAAATCATAAATTTAGAATCAGAGGCAAGAAAGTGATCTGAAGGAGCTGTAAGAAATTCATCAACAGTAGTGTCATAAAGCAACTGTAGGTGATGTCATCTGCTTCCTGCTGACACATAACAGTTGTGTCAAGGGCAAGGAGTCCACCACGTGTAGCAGTTTGTTAGTTGTTCCAGTGATCATACCTGTGAAAAAGCCACTCTAAAAGACTTAAGTATTCCCTGATGCCTGTCCTAAATTGTATTAAGCTTTGTTTTGATTCCCAGAGTTTCCCAGAGTCTTAAAGTAGCAACTATTTGTTATTTGATAAAAAATGCTTTAAAATGTTGTGCTTACTTTGGAGTTGTTGGTTGGGTTTTTTTCAGTGGAGCAACTCAGCAATATTCATATGTTGGACAATCATACCACAATGTTTTCATTTCACTCTCCAGTAGTGACCCTAAAGCAGTATGTGCCGTCATTTAAATGCCTGGGCAATGTTAGACACAAATTTGCTACCCTGTCAGTAAAACTTGTTATAAAACTCATGAAATCACTCTTAATTTTTAAAGTGGAAGTTTGCTGCAATTTG